CTAGGAGTTATGACTGCTCAAAGTTGGCCAAAAACTCACTGATTTCCCACACTTAACCAAATTTCCAGATTCTGAATTTTTCCAAAAGTGACTACTTCCAATTTCAAGCTTCTTCTTATTCATTTTAAATTGTCGGAGTTACACAATTAAAATGAAATTACATATAAACCCCTCATAGAACCTCATTATAAAGTCAACACAAAGTCATAGGCTCTTGCTTAACCTATCATATTTTTCCGAGTCGTTACAGGCTGCCTGCTGGTCGATTGCTGGCTGCTGTGTGCTGCTGGTCGCCGGAACGGTCGACGCTGCTATAGTCTGTAGACTACTAGACGTGGGAAGTGGGAACAGTAATTTTTGCCTTTTGGGAAGTGGGTTTGTAAAGTTGAAAAGTTTGAAAAGACAAACTTTTGTTTTTAATTTTAAATTATAATATTTATTTTTTAATATTAATAATTAATATAATATTATTATATATTATCATTTAATATATTTTGGTAAACCGAAATACTAAATTACACAAAAATTACATACCGAAAAATACAAAACCATATACCGAATACCGAACCGAAAACCGAAATACCGAAACCGAATTATTAAAATAATTCGGTTCGATTCGGTTTTTTGGTTTTTCGGTGTTTATGCCCACCCTACTTTATATTGGTAATCAACAAAAGAAATCCATTGATCTCGTGGCATTCCATCTGGCACATTATCAATAATCTCAACTTTACTTTTAAGTGGGTCTTCGACTAACTTCCACAAGTTGTTCTTATTTGCAGTCCACTTCTTTCCAATAGATTTATAAATATGTTGCCGCACATTTGACTCTGTTGTCTTAAAGGAGAACTTGAGCTTCAAGAAAAAAAATATTAGTTAGCTTATCTATTGCTGGTAAATATAATATTGAAATTACTAATTATCTTTCTCACCAAAGAGTAAAATAGAGTAAGAGTCTAGTGGTAAGCTTATACCTTTATAATTTGATCGAAGACGCGATTTAAGTATGACATAGGCACACTTGACCATTTCTCAAAGTTGATTGGAAATAAAGAGCAATCACATGCTAAAATTCCACAAAAGCCTGAAAGAAGGGTACGAGCCTCTCCAAATGGTTCATTCAGGTAATCAAAATTAACCACAATAAGTTCATCACCTGATAAATTAAGCACATCTATTTTTTTTACTTTGAGCCTTTTGACATTGTTTTCTGAATCTGTAATAAAAACAAAGATAAGTTGAAGCTATGAGAGAAACAAATAATGGCTATCGAATATGCACTGATACTCAAAATTATTTACCTATTGCTTCTATAGTCCAATATGACTGTGATTCACGCCCAATACGCTTTTTGAATGGAGCTTGAACTATTGGAACTTGTTGTGATGAGTCTTGTTCTGTTGAAGCTGAATGTGATGCCGAGTCAACTGATTGAGATGACTGTGATGCATGCTAAATATTGGAGGCGCCGGCAATGTTGGCTGAAATAGTGGGACTGAATGTGTTGTAGCCAGAAATGATGTGGTCTGATGTGGTGGCAGACCTGATGTTGATTGGAGCATTGAATGTGTTGATTCCGCACCTTGAGAATCAGATACTAATTGATCTGAGTTTTGTTTTTTCTGTAAACACTTGAACTTTGGCATGCTGGCAATTCAATATTTCAAATCCTGTAGCATGAATCAATTAATTCATAAGAAGTTAAAAAAGATTCAGCCAAAAACAACAACTGATAACCTGCAAATACTACATCTTAACCATAAAAAATAAGCACCTGAAACTAAAAAAACAACAACCTGCAGAAACAGCAACTTAAAACGCACAAAATCAGCAACTAAAAATTGAATAAACAGTAGATAAAACACAGTAGAAACAACAACTTAAAACACAAAAATTCAGCACCTGAAAGCAACAAAATAGTAGCCAAAAATTGCAAAAACAATAGCTTAAAATGCCAAAAAAACAGCAACTAATAACCTACAAATACTTCATCATAAGCACCTGAAACTAAAAAAACAGCAACCAAAAATCTGCAGAAACAGTAGCTTAAAACTCACAAAATCAGCAACTAAAAATTGAAAAAATACTAGATAAATCACAGTAGAAACAACTTAAAATACAAAAATTCAACACCTAAAAGCAACAAAATAGTAGCTAAAAACTGCAAAACAGCAGCTTAAAACGTAAAAAAACAGCAATTAATAACCTGCAAATACTACATCTTAACCATAAAAAATAAGCACCTGAAACTAAAAACACAGCAACAAAAATCTGCAGAAACAGCAACTTAAAACGCCAAAAAACAGCAACTAATAACCTGCAAATACTACATCTTAATCATAAAAAATAAGCACATGAAACTAAAAAAACAGCAACCAAAAATCTGCAGAAACAGTAGCTTAAAACTCACAAAATCAGCAACTAATAACTTGCAAATACTACATCTTAACCATAAAAAATAAGCACCTGAAACTAAAAAAACAGCAACCCAAAATCTACAAAAACAACAACTTAAAACTCACAAAATCAGCAACTAATAACTTGCAAATACTACATCTTAACCATAAAAAATAAGCACCTGAAACTAAAAAAACAGCAACCCAAAATCTACAAAAACAACAACTTAAAACTCACAAAATCAGCAACTAATAACTTGCAAATACTACATCTTAACCATAAAAAATAAGCACCTGAAACTAAAAAAACAGCAACCCAAAATCTACAAAAACAACAACTTAAAACTCACAAAATCAGCAACTAAAAATTGAAAAATACTACATCTTAACCATAAAAAATAAGCACCTGAAACTAAAAAAACAGCAACCCAAAATCTACAAAAACAACAACTTAAAACTCACAAAATCAGCAACTAATAACTGAAAAAATAGTAGATAAATCACAGTAGAAACAACTTAAAACACAAAAATTCAGCACCTAAAAGCAACAAAATAGTAGCCAAAAACTGTAAACACTACAGTTTCAAACACAAAACAACAACAGCTAAAAGTAGAAAAAACAGCTACTAAAATATTGCAGAAATTGCAGCGTCAAACACAAAATACAAGAAACTAAAAAGAGAAGAGCCAGCAACTAAAAACTTCTAAAAAAAAACAACTCAAAATGCAAAATATTGTCCAAATCTTTGCTATTTCATTCATTCATATTCTCATCTATTGCAATTTGGATATTCTCGTAGTCATCATCAAAAAATTGTCCAAATTCTTGTTGTTGGTATGGCTTATTCTCGTACAGATCCTCTTTATCAACCTCTCCCATTTCAAACAAATCTCTTGGCTTTAGATGTACAGCGACACTCCATTCTTTATCAGTCTCATCATCAACATAGTAGACCACATTTGCTTGTGATGCTTTAATATATGGATCATGATCCTCACGATCACCAGTGTGAATCAATTTAGAAAAATTGACACAGTTAAACTTCCAAGCATCTGTTTTATACCCTCTATTTCGAGTAGTATCAGCCCATAGACACTTGAAAAGAATAACTTTGAACCTGCCATAATAATTAAGCTCGATAATATCTTCTAACTTTCCTTAATATGGCAGGTTCGCTTGTCTTGCACACCTATCTACACTAGACGCAATACAAGAAGTGTTAGAGATGAGAAAAACTCCACTATTTTGAGTTTTTTATCCTTGTTCTCTAGATAAAGTTCAAAATTTGAATCCATTAATGTTATAAGCACTAAATCTTCTTGCATCTTGTGCAGGACCTTGTGCTAAAACTTCATATCATCAGAGATAGTTTCTGCAATATCTGGGTTCATAATCTAAACAAACATAATATATCTGTCAGAGATACTAAATTGACAAATAAGTATGTTCAAAAAAAACATTCTAAAATTATTTACTCACTCGCTTAGGAAACCAATTAGGAAACTCTTTACTAACCCTCTTCTCTTCCTCTGTTGTTGAAACTCTTCGACCTCTTGTACTTCTGTTGATGTGCTGTCTGAATTCACTACAAAATTGTTATATATATTAAATTTTTACCTGATTATTCTACACATTTCTTAAAAATCAAAATCAGTTTAAATTTCATACTTAATGAATGGCTTCACTGTTGTGCAATTAAGTAACACATATCGATGAACTTGAGTTTTCTCTAAAGTAGTCAATGGTTCTGTTGTGGAGCCTCCAACAGGTTTACCTTGTTGTGGAAACACAGATGACTTTCCAGAAGCTTCATTATGATTTGGTTCATCATTTACACGTTTAGGTCGATTCAACTCAATTTCGTCAAAATAACGAGAGTAAAGAGTTAGAGCTTCTTCAACCTTATGCCCCTCAGCTATCGAGCCTTCTGATTGAGATTTGTTCTGTACGAGAGACTTAAAATGACCTAACAATCTATGATCAAGATAATGAAGTGTTAGAAAACTTATTCATATTTAAATTCTATTCCAGATTCAATTCAATAATTTTGAATAAGAAATTTTTTACCTTTCAACAAAATACATCCAGCGATAATGTACAGGCCCACCTTGTTTTACTTCATCAACTAGATGGACAGTCAGATGAATCATTACAGTAAAAAATGAAGGGGAAAACAATATCTCTAGATGACTCAAGGTTTCTACAATTTGATTTTGTAGCTTTTCTAGGTCAGAGATGGTTAAGCTCTTCATACAAAGTTGCCTAAAAAAGGAAGAAAACTCTACCAGAGTTGCAACAACCTGATTTGGAAGAACATTGCGAATTGCTATCGGTAACAATTGTTGCATGAGGATATGACAATCATGACTCTTTAATCCAAAGATTCTTTTTTTATCCAAATCAATGCAACGAGATATATTACTTGCATAACCATCTGGCACTAAGATATTCTTTAAGGTCTTGAGGAAGGCCAGTTTCTTCTTCTTTGGAATTATAAATGCACCAAGCCGACATTTACCATTCTAATCCGGCCATAGATTGCGCCATATACCCATGTCTTGTAGATCTTTTCGAGCCTTAATATGATCCTTTGATTTTTGTTTTATTCATTTAGCAAGGTATATATGATGTTGTCAAACACATTCTTTTCAATATGCATAACATCTAAATTGTGGCGCAACAAATTAGACTCCCAATATGGAAGATCAAAGAAGATGCTTTTTTTTCTCCATTGTTGAGTTCCACCTTCATCATTATTTCTTTGCTTGTTTCGTTTTCTTTTACGATTCAACTCTGCCAGTCTTCCAAATGTGACATTGATATCTTTCACTTGTTGAAAAATATCTGATCCTGACAACTTCTTTGGAGGGGTCCTCTCTTCCACGGTTCCATCAAAATGATGCCTCATCATTCTAAATTTGTGATTTATAGATAAAAATCGACGATGGCCAATAAAACACCACTTTCTACTATGAGGAAGTCAACAAGGTTCTGCGTCAAAATTACAAGAGGGACATGCAAGACCAGTATGTGTTTTCCAACCAGATAAGCTATCAAGTCCAGGAAAGTCGCTAACTGTCCACATAAGAGCCGCTCGCATTCTAAACATTTCATTCTTTGATGAATCTAAAGTGTCAACACCATCACTCCACAACTCTTTCAACTCCTTAATAAGGGGTTGGAGGTATACATCTATGTTATTTCCTGGTACACGTGGACCTGGAATAATCATTGAGAGGATGAAATTTGATTGTTTCATACACAACCATGGATGAAGGTTGTGTGGAACCAAAATAACAAGCCACATGCTATGACTAGTACTCATTGTCCCAAAAGGATTGAAACCATCACTAGCTAGGCCTAATCGGACATTTTGAGGATCACAAGAAAATTCAGGAAAAGTTGTATCAAACTTCTTCCACGCCTCACCATCTCTAGGATGTCGTAGGGTTCCATCTTTGTTATCATCCTCTGCATGCCATCTCATATGCTCTACCATTTTAGAACACATGAACAATCTTTGCAATCTTGGTTTTAAGGGAAAGTATCGCAAAATTTTTACAGGCTTCTTCTTTTGCTTCTTCTTTTTCTTCTTACTTGTGGTCGGTGTATGATCTGTATTGCTCTTCTTCTCTGGCTTCCATCTAGAAGTGTGACAATACTTACATGTCTCGGCGTTAACATCATCTTCCCAATACAACATGCAATCATTTGGACAACCATCTATTTTGATATAATCAAGACTCAACTTATTTATGGTTTTCTTGGCCTCATAAAAAGAATCAAGGATCTTTGCAAATTTAAATGCATCCCTAGGTAGATCTAGGATCATAGTCATTTCCTTATCACTTAATCCAGACAAACACTTAATGTGATAAAGTTTTAACAAAAATTCCAACTTTGAGTACTTGGAGCCTTCATACAATTCTTGACTTCCATCTTTAAGCAACTCAAATAAATTTTTCTTATTTAAAGCAGGTGTATCATGTAACGTTTCTTCTTCTTCCACTATCGGTGATGGACCTACATCAACACCCTCATGCCTTAAGCCCCCGAATGCTTCATTAACCAATAATTCTATTGGATTTTCAGTGGGTGGTGTAGCCTGAGTGGTCTCTATGTTTCTCGAATTAGGAAACACATTCATTT